CTAGCGCTCTAGATGCTGGGAAGTGGGCCCGTCGACGCTGTGTCTCCTTGGGGGGGTTCTCTAGGACCACACCCGCTGCTTCTGGGGATTTTCCTAAGTGTTCCAAGAGCTATTGTGGCACCTGTGGAGCCATATTTTTTTGTCTTGGTGGCTTTTCCAGGGACTCTGAGGTTGTGCTGGCATCTCTGGTGCATTCCTCAGTACTTTTGGGGCCATTTGCTTACTCAGGTTATCTGGGGCTTCTTCCCTGTGTCAGGGAATCTGGAATTTTGGGTGGGAAGGGTATCTGGGCTGTTGTCTGTAGCACAGGAGGTCTTTGGGGCACAGACAGAGGAAGTCTAGTGAGGGGCCACTAAGGTGACGAAGGGATTGGAGCATCTCTCACATGAGAAAAGCCTGAGAGAGCTGGGACTGTTCAGCCTGGAGAGAAGAAGGCTCAGGGCCGGGGAGGGGGGAGGCAGATATCTTATCAATGTATATAAATACCTGAAGGGAGGGTGTGAAGAAGACAGAGCCAGGTGCTTTTCAGTGGTGCCCAGTGATGGGACCACAGGTAATGGGCACAAACTGAAGCACAGGATATTCCCTCTGAACATCAGGAAGCCCTTTTCACCGTGCGGGTGACGGAGCACTGGCACAGGTTGGCCAGAGAGGTGGTAGAATCTCCCACCTTGGCAATACTCAAAAGCCATCTGAACATGGTCCTGGGCAGCTGGCTGTAGGTGGCCCTGCTTGAGCAGGGAGGGGTTGGACCAGATGACCTCCGGAGGTCCCACCTCAACTGTTCTGCAATTCTGGAGTCATTACTGTCATATCCAGGGTCCTTAGCTACCACAGGCGTGAGAAACTTGCCCCAGGCCTCAAGGCCATCCAGAGTGCCTGCTGCTTTACTCCAGCCGCAGTACTCGTGAAGAAGAGGAGCAGGTAATTTTGCACTTATCAGGGCTTTTAGGGCTCAGTGGTAATGCTGGGGCAGGGTTGAGTGGTTGGAGGGTTTGGAGGGACAGTTCAAGAGGGCATCTGAAATGCCCTTGCAGGGTGGAATGAGGCAGGAAAGAGGGGGTTAGAGTTGGCGGGGGGTGGACTGCCCTGGTTGGGGTGCTGTGTGCACATGGGTGCCAGTAGCTCAGCTGCTGTCTGTGGCTGTCAGCATTGCAGGAGCCATGGGGGTGATAGACTTTACTATGCCTCCCCCAGAAAGCTCTGGCAGACAAAGGTATGCCACAACAGAGACTGCAGCCGTCAGCACCACTGGACGCTGATAATGACTAGCACAGGCCTCACGCTGTACTGTCGTTTTCCCTGCTACTTGCAGTGGATCTGTAATAGCCTTACAGATCCCAAATATCCCTAAAGTCTGCCCCAGACCCCCCCCAGATGCTGCCCCAAAGCTGCCAGCAGCCCCCAAACTCTCCCAAACCCTTCCTCAAAGCTCCTACTGACCCCCAAACACTCCTCAAAGACTCCCTAAATCCCTCTTTCCATTCCTTTGTCTATCTCCCCATCCCTCTTTTCTGCTCCTCTTTTCCCCATCCCCTTTCTGGATTCCTGTTCCTCTGTCAAGCTGAAGGTCTGGCATTCCTTTGTCAGGCCTTTGAGGTGCCAAGGGCTGGTGGGTGCTCAGTGGAGTTGATCAGCAGTGGATGGAAGGTGCTGTTGATCTGCCTCGTTCGGACTAAGTCTAACATCTCTCCACAGACTTTTGTTGCTGGGGCACAGGGCTGTGGATGTGCACTGGGGGAGCCGCAATGGGCCAAGATGGTATGGGGAGGGTACGGTTGGCAGTGAAGAGGCTTGTGGGGAAAGTGTCAGGAAGACAGAGATCAGAGTCTCCGAGTACTTGGGTGTTAGGGCAGGTGCCCGTAGTAGAGTAGTCTGGAGTTGCTGTTGTTGTCTGTCCTCCGCATCAGTGCACTGGCTGTCCTCTGCATAGGCTGTTACTGCTTCTTGCTTGCCTGTGCCCAGACAGGGCTGTCACGTGGTGCAGCTTGACTCATGAATGTGATACTGGCATAGAGCCCGATTTCCTGTTGGAGTTGTCTTTATGTAAACAGGTATCTTCTTGCATTAGCCTCATTCTGTTCCTCTTCCACCTCTGCAGCAGCAGCTTGCACTTGACTCAGCCTTCGGGCATGCTGTGGAGTCGCAGGGCTTTCTAGCAGGGTCTGTTTGACTTGAGCTACTTGTGTATGCATGTCGTGGTTTGTCCGTTTGGCCAGTTTGGGTCAGCTGTCCTGGCTGTGTCCCCTCCCAGCTTCTTGTGCACCTCCAGCCTTCTCAGCCCGTAGAGCATGGGAAGCTGAAAAGTCCTTGGCTAGTGTAAGCACTACTTAGCAACAACTAAAACATCGGTGTGTTATTAACGTTACTCTCATACTAAATTCAAAACACAGCACTGTACCAGCTACTAGGAAGAAAATTAACTCTATCCCAGCCAAAACC